CTAGTAAACACTCAAGCATTCAAGAACCTTCCAAAATATCATGTCGTGTTACTAGAGTCATGTGACTTCCGCTGCCGTAACAATATTATGAATTGTGACTTGTGTATACCATGAATTGTGACATGTGTATACCATCAATTGTGACTTGTGTATACCATGAATTGTGACATGTGTATACCATCAATTGTGACTTGTGTATACCATGAATTATGACTGAGAAATTATGTTCCCATACAATAAGATTATGAGAAAGGCTGAAATTTCTACTTTTAGTATCCTCATAAAAGTTCAGACTTTTTATTTTTTGCCTATTTTTAAAATTTTCATCTTTCGTACACCAGTGTAGTTTATATTTACATGTCAACTTGCTAGAGGTTTTAATGATGATCAAACTGTGACATGTACTCAGGACATCATAGAAAATTTGTCACCTTATATGAAATCAATTGTGATTCTGCTATATCATAATTACATGTGTTCATTACAATTAAATATATTGGGTTCTGTTTAATTAAGTATTTTCAATATGACAATAACCTCTGTAAAAAGAATTTCATTGTTTTTATTTTGATTTATAATTGTGTTAGCTAACAACAATCAACCAAAGTGAATAATATGATACTTAGAGTAGTGACTGTTGTTAAGTTGGACTCTTGTTGTCATGGTTACTAGTCTGTGATCACCTAAACCTAATTATTAATTTGTTAGTATTTATGTTATTAGTAGATTCTAACCTTAGTTAGTTTATATCTTGTATTTTCACTGCTAATCTGCTGCTGACTTAAGGAAAGTCCTGAGAAGGATTATTTGTGGAGTTGAGGACTTTTTATGTGGTAGTAATGATGAGTATGTGATCCTTGATCTTCTTGTTAAAAAAGGCTTGTGTACTGTACACTCAACTGATGTCTCCTCCATTAAAGTTTGAATGAATGAACTATTTGACTGGTTTCAAGAGGGTCATCCAGGCTTGCCTTACTTCTGTGCTTGGTTGACTGAATGTGTTATCAGTTAGGTAGATATAGAAAGCTTTGTTTATGTGGTTCATATGCTATTATTTCTGTTTTACCATTATGTGAAAGATTATACAATAGAATAGGATAACATGAAAATGATGAGATATAAACTACACACAAGAAACATCTACCTAACTGATAACACAGTCAACCTAGCATAGAATTCAGCAAAACCTGGATACCACTCCTGAAACCATTCATATGGTTAGGTGCTTCAAACTTTAATAGTGATAACACTGGTTGAACATATAGAAAGCCTTTTTAACAAGAGGAGCAAGAATTACATGCCACAAACAGTCCTCTTCATAACTCCCTGAAGATAACAGGAGATTAACAGCCAAAATGTAAAATATAAGCTAATTATAATTAACATGTACTAATGAATAAAATAGTAACTAATGAATTATTAGACTTGGATGATTGTATAGGCTATTAACCAAGACAATGATTGGTATTTGATTGCCACAACTGTATAATAATTACTTAAGTTGGACTGTTTGAAGGTTAAGATTACTATCAAACTGTTATATCTCTATATTCATATTAGATTTACAATCAGTTATTGATATCTGATTGCCACTACCTTACAGTAATTATTTAAGTTGGACTGATTGAATGTTAAGGTTATATATCTTGGTTTATGCTAGGTTGATATTCAGTGATTGATATCTGAAATGCCAAAACCATACAGTATTTACTTAAGTTGGACTATTTGAAGGTTAAAGTGACTGTTATATCTCTTGGTTTATGTTAGGATGACAATCAATGTATGAAATGATGTCTGGAGAAACAGGAACAACTTTCCACACACAGTATTAATACCAACATTCAGAATGATGTATATCTTCTTCCAAACACATAACATTATAAAGATTGAGAACACTTGAAGTAAAGTAGATGCATTTGAAAAGAATATTCAAAAGAACTAGATTAATAATGTATGCGTTGGTTCCTGTGATATCAAGAGATAAAATCTTATAATTCACTACAAGTAATTGTGATTTTCACAAGTTATGTTCATTTTCATGTTTGAAGGACCCCAGGGAAAGTGCAAGTATTTCATGTGTGAAGTACCTTGGGAAAGTGAAATATTTCATGTGTGAAGTACCTCAGGGAAAGTGCTAATATTTCATGTGTGAAGTACCTCAGGGAAAGTGCTAATATTTCATGTGTGAAGTACCTTGGGGAAAAGTGCTAATATTTCATGTGTGAAGTACCTCAGGGAAAGTGCTAATATTTCATGTGTGAAGTACCTCAGGGAAAGTAAAAGTAGATATGTTCTTACTGACTGTTTTTAAATTTTCTCTGGAAATTATTTTTTTTAACAAGAATTTCAAGCTGATTATTTCTTTTGTTTTGGGTTTGGTTAACAGAATTGCAAATTAGGTTATTGCTAATGGTTTGTCTTTAGATATAAACACTGATTTCTGGTAATGTGAGGAAATATACTCATAGAATTATTATTGTCGATGGCATTTAGTTACAAGTTGCAGTTAAATAGCAAGTTAGGAATTACTGATAGCTTAATTTAGGAATAATATAAACATCAATAAACTATTTACAGGGTATACATCCTGGTCTACTTCCTTTGGGCCAAACTGGACAACAGCAATTTCAATCCTATCAATTACCATACATGTCTTCCCAGAAAGTGAGTTATCGACACTACCCACATCAAACGTTAAACCTAACCTCACCGCCTGAAACTTGGCATTACACTGGGTTACCTACAGGTTTACAAAATAACACTTCAACTTCACCACATTTGAGCATGTCTTCTACATACACTCCTCCAGGATCACCTGGCCAGTCCTGTGTAGCCAGTGGCCTTCCATCACCATCTGTATCTTACCCTTCTCTTCAACAGTTTCATATTGTTGCCCCTATAAATAGCATGCTTGACAGTGATAAACTAGTTTCGATGCCACCAAGTTTGTCCTCACCGAATGCCCATATACTACCACAACAAAGACTCTCACAATGTAATTCACCTAAATTATCAAGAAGTTCATACTTATGTGTGCCATCAGAACAAGGAAATTACTTAAAGTCATCCAGCCAAAGAAATTATTTTTCAACAGTGCAGAAGGGAACACAAAGTCGAGGCACTCCTGAGTTCAAACCCACTTTACGTAATCAACCATCTTCTTCAGTTTGTGCTTTAGTTCTTCCACCTACTCCTGTGACTGATCAATGTCCTGTTATTGTAGCTGTCAGCCATTCCCACCTATCACAGACTTTTCCAGCAGGTGGCTTACCTTTACTAAGAACTTGTAGCACACCAGCTTTTGAAAGGTTGTCCCCACTTCAATGCATTTTCCTCAGCAGGCCATCTTCACCCACACCTTCGATACACTCCACTCTTGAAGGAAGTGTTGATTCACGAGAACAAGCTAACATCTATTTCCCATTCCATTCACTTCCTGTTTCAACTCATTCTTCACAAGATATCACTATAGCTCATCCTGTGTCACATTTTGTGGCTCCTTTAATTGTCTCTCCTTCCCCACCTCTGACCCCAATCCCCACTATTAAATTTGATTTTGTTTCAGAACAAGAAACTGTGTCAAAACAAATTTTAGCTGCAGCTGAACATAGTGCTTCACAAATAAGGCAGAACTTAGTTGGATCTCAGGATGTTAAAAACAGGGTAGTGTCTATAACAACCTTGTCGTCCGTCATCCCAAGTATCACAGTTACATATACAAATGATGATGTTATAACCATAAAACAGACTTTACCATCAGAAGTTGAGCAACTTCAGCCTTTAACATCTTGTTCACAGAGCACAAGTGGTTGCCATTTTACAGAAGCAAACCATGTTCCACTACAAAAACCAACGTATCTTCAAGGCCCAGATGAAATGTATGTTTTACCAGGGAATAAATATGATAAAAAGGTACCACGGGAAGGACTGGAGAGGAGAACTGCAGTAAGTTGTGGTTTCTCTTTAACCCAGACATTTCTCAGTGAACTAACAACTGGAAGTATTTTAACTGCTTGAAATGGAGTCTACTCTTGGCAACACTTTCTGCTTTCTCTTGTCAGCTGTTTTATGGGACTATTTTACTGTGTTAATTTTCTCTTGTTTCTTGTAGAGAAGAAAGACACAAATCAGTTATGGTATTCATAGATTTAACTTTTTCTCTCTCTCACTCACTTTTCAGCTTTAAACTGCTAAATTCATAGCAAACATGGGAGTTCATACTTTTGTCATATCATGCAAGAACCTGTCACTAACCTTAAGAAATAAAATGTTTCTACAATCCACAGTTAACCAAATGCAAGCATATTCATGCAAAACTAACAATTTTAGTAATAACAATTTATTACTGTAGAAAATATTAGTGTAGCAAGTAAGAAATAATACAAATAAAAAGTAATTGTTCTTATGGTGTTTTGGAGATCAAATGTAGGTCTCATTTATTAATATGCTGTTTTGTTTATGAGGGGTGTTCAGAAAGAAACTGGACATTATTTTCTGTCACATTGTAATAAAAAAACGTACCCCAATGTTATTAAGGATATGGGCAACAAAATGTCACTTTTCAACACAGTTAATTCTTTGTTATTCTGTGAACTTCGTCTTACTAGATGTGTGTTATGAGTCTACATGTACTCATCTTACAGATGTTTGTGTTATGAGTCTACATGTACTCATCTTACAGATGTTTGTGTTATGAGTCTACCTGTGTTTATCCTACCAAATGTATGTGTTATAAATCCGCCTGTGTTCATCTAACCAGATGTGTGTATTATGAGTCTATCTGTGTTCATCCTACCAGATGTGTGTCATGAGTCTACATGTGTTCATCCTACCAGATGTGTGTGTTATGAGTCTACCTGTGTTCATCCTACCAGATGTATGTGTTATGAGTCCACCTGTGTTCATCTAACCAGATGTGTGTATTATGAGTCTATCTGTGTTCATCCTACCAGATGACTCTCTGTATTTATCCTACCAAATGTGTGGTATGAGTCTACCTGTGTATAGTTGGTGAAAGATCATCAATTATCTGGAAATGTTTTCCACACATGCCATCCTTGAGAGGATAGACAGAAGTCACAGGCACAATGTCAAGACTGAGCATTGTGGGAGAAATGTTTCTTGGTTGTAGTCAGCCTGGCCTTGTCACATTAGTGGGAGAAATGTTTCTCAGTTGTAGTCAGCCTGGCCTTGTCACATTAGTGGGAGAAATGTTTCTCGGTTGTAGTCAGCCTGGCCTTGTCACATTAGTGGGAGAAATGTTTCTCGGTTGTAGTCAGCCTGGCCTTGTCACATTAGTGGGAGAAATGTTTCTCGGTTGTAGTCAGCCTGGCCTTGTCACATTAGAAGAGAACATCTTCGATTGGATGGATACTAACATGATAACATTTTTTCTGGATGGATACTAACATGATAACATTTTTTCTGGATGGATACTAACATGATAACATTTTCTTTCTGGATGGATACTAACATGATAACATTTTTTCTGGATGGATACTAACATGATAACATTTTTTCTGGATGGATACTAACATGATAACATTTTTTTTCTGGATGGATACTAACATGGTAACATTTTTTCTGGATGAACCTCTCTTATTTTTGTTTTTCTGCTAGATATTCACCTCCACAGTCTGATTAATTTTAATATTAAAAATTAATGTCTAACAAATGTGTAGTAGCCAAATACATTCCAGGAATACTGTAAATAAAAAGTTTAATGTCTAAAATATGTGTAGTAACCAAATACATTCTAGTAGTAATGTAAATAAGAAGTTTAATGTTTAACATATGTGTAGTAACCAAATACATTCCAGTAGTAATGTAAAGTGTTTTATAATTTAAACTTTATAAAAGTACTTAAATGGTTTAACATGTGCTCTTTTAATTTCTATGTGGCTGTGAAGTTTCAGATTTAAATTGAAAGTTTCAACATATAGTTTTCACCATAAATTTTTTGGGATTCATTTGGAGAAAATTGAGATCTACAGTAGCAAAGGTTTTCAATTAGCTACACCTCTAAACCGATGATTGCCTACCTAATGCAGTCACTATGTTACATAGAGTGTCTATGTGTTACAGACAGCTAAATTAATTGAACTATTAAGAAAATATATGTATAGTTCAGATGTTAATGTGTGGTTATGTTATATTATCAGTCACAATATTAACCTTTTTATTTCTGGAAGACATGGTATTATCACAGGTAAACATTTAATCATGTAATAGTAATTTTCTCATGTCCATTTTTTATTCTCATTTTGATACAATAGCAAATGAGTGTAACCGAAGTTGATGAAGGACCAAAAACTACAGAACAAAGGTGTGTACCAGTAGAAATGATTTTATTTTTTTAAATAGTGAAATAATTGTTAAGTGTTGAACACCATCTTTTACTGACAATCAAGCCCTTTCGATAAACATAACAATGGCCCTGTAACAACGTTTCTACGATGTTAGGCTTCTTCTTAGAACCATCAATTCTCTGTTTTCCCATACCTCCAAGATCTTTCAACACACATAACCATGGCCCTGTACTGATGTTTCCATGATGTTAGGCTACTCTGCAGAACAACTATTTCTATTTTGCCCCCTGCCTCATGTATAGATAACCATAACCTGGCTAATGATTTATGTTAGGACTTCAAAGTGCATGCTTGAGCAGACCAAATGTACAGATATCCAGTACAGTGGAACTGAAAGACATGACAGGTATGTAGTTGAATTGTACTGCTTTGCTTCATTTTCTTTGGCATTTTTGTCATAAAAACGGCTGTTGATGTGAAGTAGTAACCTAGAGTACCTGTCATTGGTTATTTTCAAACCCTTGTTTGTTATCTCAGTAGCTTTTTTGGGGGGTTGCATTGTTCTGTTTGATAACTACGATTTTTGGATGAGGACATGGGTCTTGACCACAACTGTAATACATGCTCCATGAGAGTTTTTCTACTACCTTGATGAACACTGAAAACTCACTTTGGCTATACATTGTTTAACGATTTTTCTATATGAATTATTCTCTTCATAAAGAGCAGTTACATACCTTTTCAGCTAACATTCAAGCTCTGGAGGCACCTTACAGCCATATTTAGTGCAGTGTGTCTCTCATGTGACCATCCAAACATTCATAGAGAAGTAATAGCTAATTTATATTCCTTTTTGTAATCAGTACATGACATAACTGTGTGATACTAGTAGAAGGAACTTTATTCCACTTCTTATATCCAGGTTGTTCAACCAGCTCCAGAACATAGCTGTGTGATACTAGTAGAAGGAACGTTATTCCACTTCTTATATCCAGGCTGTTCAACCAGCTCCAGAACATAGCTGTGTGATACTAGTAGAAGGAACTTTATTCCATTTGTTTTATCCAGATTATTCAATCAGCACCAGAACATAACTGTGTGTAGAAGGAACTTTATTCCATTTGTTTTATCCAGGTTGTTCAACCAGCACCAGAACATAGCTATGTAATACTAGTAGAAGGAACTTTATTCCACTTTTTATATAAAAGTTGTTCAACCAGCTCCAGATTGAAGGTTTATGCAAATATATATGTATCATGCCCTACAGTAGATTTAAAATAGGATACTTTGTAAAATAGTTTTACTGTGTACAAAAACTTGTGTTCACAGTTAATTACATATCAGTTTTTATTGGTTCTAAAACTAATTGTATTAACTTAGCTCCTGTGTTAATGAACAGAAAATAATGTTTGATGTGTATAAAAAAAGGAATTTCAAACATAATAATGGCTTTTAACAGAACTAGTGACGTTATTACTCACATATAAAATGGATTTAAAAATATATTGATTATAGTTTTATGTAAATTATAGAACTGAGCCCATTAGTGAACAGGGAAGATTAATAGATGTTCATGGAAAACAAGTGGCACGTAAGAAGCTCAGGAAACGCCGAAAGACTCAGGATCGAGGCCCAAGGCTAACAGTGTTGAGTGTTGAAAATGGAACTGTTGTTGAGTGCCAGTTGGAGTCCACAAAAGGGAAGAATGTGAAGTTCAAGTTTGATCTCGAAGATGTTGTTCCAGAAGAAATATCAAGCAACTTAGTAAGTGATCTTTTTGAACAAATTGTTTATTTGTAAGGTAAGAATTAGCATAGAGGTATTTATTTACTTCAAGACAAAACTAATGTTCATTAAGCTCTACTGATCAGAAATCATAAGTAATGGTTTGCATTTGGGATCATAATGTTTCTATAAATCATGGTTATTTTTAATGCCAAAGAATTAAAATGTTTACAGGATTACATAAACTATATTTTTAGGTGTTATTTAACATACTGAAGTGTGTTTTTCTGCATGGTACTTGACATATTCTGTTTTATGTGTGTTGATCCATACTTAAATCTGTTTTATGCATAGTAACATATGTTGTATATTAGGTCACATAACTGGCTTTTTTGTATGTGTTACTGAAATGGTAGAAAAAATTAGGAATGCTGTTAATGGGAGTCAATACTGAGATTTGACATGAAATGTACAGAATGCTGAAGAACAAATTAAGAAGGAAAAGAGATAATGAGAGATAAAGAGAAATGATGGTAAGAATAGAGTAAACAACTGGAAGAAAAGTAATGATATGGTAAGCCAGTAGATGAAAGTACCATTGAAATATTTAAAGATCAGGAAAACAGAAGGTATGGATGGAATACTGCAGAGATGACAAACGAAGGGACAGAAGACTTGATGAGATTGGTAGTAATTCCCTTGGAGAAGAAGGCAAATGTAAAGACTGCCAAACAATAAGTCACATGCATCAAAAATCATGGTGAAGATTCTTCTAGGGTTAAAACAAATGATAAGTCACTTGTATCAAAGATCATGGTGAAGATTCTTGTAGGGTTAAAACAAATGATAAGTCACTTGTATCAAAGATCATGGTGAAGATTCTTGTAGGGTTAAAACAAATAATAAGTCACTTGTATCAAAGATCATGGTGTTTTACATGTAATAACTTGTCTTCGAAAATGTGTGTATTACATATAACAAGTTATCTTCCTAAATGTGTTTTACATATAAAACTTACCTAAGTTGTTATATGTAAAACACATTTAGGAAGATAAGTTGTTACATGTAAAACACATTTAGGAAGATAAGTTGTTACATGTCTTCCTAAATGTGTTTTACATGTAACAACTTATCTTCCTAAATGTGTTTTACATGTAACAACTTATCCTTCCTAAATGTGTTTTACATGTAACAAATTATCTTCCTAAATGTGTTTTACATATAACAAATTATCTTCCTAAATGTGTTTTACATGTAACAACCTATCTCTTCCTAAATGTGTTATTACATATAACAACTTATCTTCCTAAATGTATATTTTACATATAAAAACTTACCTTCCTAAATGTGTTTTACATGTAACCACTTATCTTCTTAAGTGTGTTTTACATGTAATAACTTGTCCTCCTAAATGTATGTTTTACATATAAAAACTTACCTTCCTAAATGTGTTTGACGTGCAGTAACTTATCTTCCTAAATATATATTTTACATATAATCATTTATCTATTCAGACCAAATCTTTGTTTTTCTCAGTTTCATTCTTTGTTTTAGGTTATGACTGACCTTCTTGCTGAAAGTTATGCAGCTGTGTTTATTGAACAAATATGCGATATTGTCACACAGTTGAAACAACATCCACATCATCTTCCTGTAGTGCATACAGCAGACCTTACTCCTACAACTGCGATATCTAGTCCTTTATTCCAGCATCATCAAGAACATAACAGTGCAAAGGATTTTTCTCGAACAAAGGTACAGACAACCTTATGATTTGCACATGGTTATTACTGTTCATGTAGAGATAAATGTTAAATTATTCATTGCACATATGTCTTAAGAGTCAATTTTTAATGGTCTCCAAACCTCAAGAACTTGTATAATTCCTATTTGTGGAATACATTTTTGTGATATAATTTTACTATATCTATTTCTTCATGAAGTTAACAGTTTCACTGAAGAGACCATATTAACTAATGTTATGAGCTGTATTACAGTAACTTACCATATTAACTAATGTTATGGGCTGTAACTTTTCTCTGTATCAAAAGAGATTGCTAGTTTGTTCACTTAATTATTAACTTACTCTTGCTGACAGTTTTTAGCTATTAGAGATCTATGGTTAATGTTACAGAATAATAGAAAAACATTATCCAATTTAGAACAGTTGTTACTTTTATAAGAGAAATAGTCTTCATCAATTTAGTCTAAATTAGATGATTAAAAACAATCATAATTAGGACATATATCATTTATACTAAGGATTACCAATATGTAAATTTAATTTCTAGAACGATAAAATCATGTACTCATGAAAGTTCTATCCAGTTTCAGTCACAGCTATCTTTCCTTTCATCTATTCCTATCAAGGAATATTTTTTCTTCACAACTACCCCCCACCTCTCCCAGTTGTTCTAATCCTATCAAGGAATAGTTTTCCCTCACAACTACCCACCCAGGTGTTTGAATCCTATCAATAAACATATTTCCCTCACAACTACCCACCCAGGTGTTTGAATCCTATCAATAAACATATTTCACTCACAACTACCCACCCAGGTGTTTGAATCCTATCAGTTAACATATTTCACTCACGACTACCCTCTAGTTATTCTAATCCTATCAGTTAACATATTTCATTCACAACTAACTCTTAGTTGTTCTGATCCTATCAGTTAATATATTTCACTTACAACTAACTCCTGTTGTTCTAATCCTATCAAGTAATATACTTTACTTACAATTACTTCCCCAGTTGTTCTGATCCTATCAGTTAATATATTTCACTTACAACTAACTCCTGTTGTTCTGATCCTATCAGTTAATATATTTCACTTACAACTAACTCCTGTTGTTCTGATCCTATCAAGTAATATACTTTACTTCCCAGTTGTTCTAATCCTATCATTAAACATGTTTCACTCACAACTATCCCCAGTTGTTCTAATCCTATCAGTTAGCATATTTCACTCACAACTAACCCCTTTTGTTCTGATCCTATCAGTTAACATATTTCAATTGTTCTAATCCTATCAATATACATGTTTCACTCACAACTAACCTCCAGTTATTCTAATCCTATCAATATACATGTTTCACTCACAACTAACCTCCAGTTATTCTAATCCTATCAATATACATGTTTCACTCACAACTATCCTCCAGTTGTTCTAATCCTATCAGTAAACATGTTTCACTCACAACTATCCCCAGTTGTTCTAATCCTAACAATTAACATATTTCACTCACAACTAACCCCCAGTTGTTCTAAACCTAGCAATTAACATATTTCACACACAACTATCCCCAGTTGTTCTAATCCTATCAGTAAACAAGTTTCACTCACAGCTATCCCCAGTTGTTCTAATCCTATCAGTAAACATGTTAATTCTTAAGATTAGAATAACTGGAGGTTAGTTGTGAGTGAAACATATTTCACTCACAACTAACCCCCAGTTGTTTTAAACCTAGCAATTAACATATTTCACTCACAAGTATCCCCCAGTTGTTTTAAACCTAGCAATTAACATATTTCACTCACAAGTATCCCCAGTTCTA